CCTATATATAGCCGCGAGCCTTGGAGACCCAGGCCCGGGTGAAGCGGCTGGGGCGCAGAGGGAAGAAGTCATGAGCCTCGAGGGGTCAAGGGTCTCAGGGTGAAGGGTCAGGGATTAGTGCTTTCATCTGGCCTCAGTTAGGGGCTGAAGCTCTCTTTGAGCCTCGCTGTTGCTGAAATTGGCCGAGGACATGAAGGCTAGTGAGTGTGCCAGGGAGAGAGGTCTTAAGAGTGTTGTGAGCCAGGGACACATCTCTTTCCTGCGGAAGCCACTCTGCACCCCACAACCCCTCCCCTCTCCCACCTCCAGAGCATGATGCAGGAGTCTTTGGCCATCAGGGTCCTTGGGTTCCTCCAGATGGTGATGTAGAAATGGGGTAAGAGGTCACCTCTCAGTGTCAGCCCACAGTAAGAGTGGGGATGTGAGGGCCCCACGCTCTTGAGTCCAGGTGTCAGAAAGTAGGTGCCTTGTCACCCTAGGCAAGGGACACTGGAGAACTATGTGAGTGCCTGGCTCCATAGTAAAAGGGTTCAGGGGGCAGCTGCCTCCGGCCCCTGTGCTGTAGTCCTCGCACCTTCGTGTTTTCCCCAGGGATTCTGGTTAAGAGATGGTTGAAACAGGCAAAGTGCCTGTTTGTGGCTGATCTGGAGCTATCATCCCCACTACCAAGGAGTAAGAGCCCAGCTTTGATTTCCAAGTCCCTCCATTGCATAAAGAGAAGAGAAGCAAACAGGCATCCCTCTGACATAGCTGGAGCCCTGGGGACCCTCGTAGGGGGCTGGAGGAGCAGGAGCTGTTTTCTTGGAAAGCCACTTAGAATAAATGTTATCTGCTGCAGTCTCGGCAGTAGAGTGTGGCTGTGTTTTATTAATGTTTGCTTGTCATCTGGAAACTACTTAGAGCAGCAGGGTGATGTGTGGTGATTCCCACTCTCTGCACCTCCTTACTTTCTTCCAGACACCCCCCTGCACGTCCCATTGCTGCCCCAATGTGAGAAAAATGGTTGGATAAGTAAGTAGGTCAGTAACGTGGGGACTCCGGGGTGTCCCAGGATGAGTGCAACTTAAATATTAAACAGGGAGGAGAGAAGGAAATCCACTTAGGAGGAGAGAACAGATGGCAGGGAGCTGTTTGAGATGGCTGTGAAGGACATCACATTCACGGGGTGTCCCCAAAGTGCCTGGAGTTTCAGAAGCCAAAGATGCAGGCCACGCCCCTGTGCTCCCTAGGACAAAGAGACATTATGGTTAAGGGCTCTTGTCAGGATACCCGGGACCCAGTCCTGCTTCCTTGATTGGTGACTTTGGGCAGATTATGTATCTTCCCCACACCCTAGTTCCCCTGTATCTGAAATGGTGATGCTCACTGGACGTACTGCAGGGCTGTTTGCGGATTAAGTGGGAATCCACAGGCATCCCTTAAGACAGCGTTCGGCACAAAGTGAGGGTGTCAGCTATTCGTTCATCCAACACATGTTTGTTGAGTGTTTACTACATGCCAGGCACTGTGGTTGATACTGGAGAGACATTAATGGCCCAAAGAGACAAAAATCCCCATCCTCAGAGTGATTATACATTCTGGTAGCAACGCTACACCAGTGAACACAGGAAGCCACACCAACTCCAGCCCAGCCAGCTGGAGGAATATGGCGCCAGGGGAAACGCCAGTCTCTGTGCTCCGTCCTCCTGATCTGTGCCACCACCCCTGGAGCACCAGGGCCTGTAACAGTGTCTTCTTTTTGTTGACATCCCCAAAAGAGTTTTTCAAAAATAGATATGCCTCACACATTTTTCAGCTGGCATCTAAAATGGGTTTTTTTAAATCATAAATTTAAATAGTTTTGGATATGTCATGTATATTCACTTTTATATGTAAAGCCATTATAACTCTGTTTTCAGTGTACCCAATGGAATATAATTAAGAATGGAAAAGTACCATATTATATTTAAAACTACAAACAAGTTTTTCTTTAACAGTCAAAAAATTTACAGTGTTTCCTTTTGCCTTCGAAGTGTATTTTCATTCCACTTCCAACTGAATTTTATGCAACTGTAAGGTTTTTATTATTTAAATCCTGTGTTTAGCACCTTATCTACTACATGGACTGTGTATATGAATATGCATTAGCTCTTTAAATTTTTCTTATGGCCATAGGGTTCTAAGTTTTAGAATTCCCTCTAAGATTGTGTGATTAAAACAATTATTAGTAATCTATAAATGATAAAGCCTCAGACATAGAATATGAATGTTGATAAATCTTTAACACAAAAAGAGAAATTGCATTACTTAATGAGATGGATGGGGAGAGGATTTTTGGAGTCTTGATAAAAGAGAAACCATATTGTCTCTGGATGTTTTTATGCCTCAGAACAATGTTAACACAGTAAAATGGTAAGAGTCAGGCTGAGTGGGCTTTAGGCTTCCCTTTGTCCAGGGGGAGGCAGGAGATTGTTGAAAGGGGAAGTGATAAAGGAGAATCCTCATGTCTCTACCTGGGTCTGTCTCAGCCAGGTCAATTTTTAAATACAGGTCACATGGAAATTGAGGGTCTCCTTTGCTTCATTACACACCCAGTGTCCCGGAATAGAGGTTGAAGAGCCAATCTGGGAGGCCTGCCTGATCTGGGACTTTGGGACTCTATAGCCTCCTCTTAATCCCTGCCTTCGCCCTCCAGCCAGGAACACTTGTTCCTCTCAGTGTTTCTCTGCCTCAGGGCCTTTGCACATTCTCTTCCCTCCTCTTCTTCTTCTAGTTATCACCTTCTCATTCTTCATTACCAGCCCTAATGTCACATCTTAAGGGAGTCATCCTTTCATGGACATGCCCCCATCCCTCCACCCCCATATCAGACAAGTCCTTCTGTCATAAATCCTCATGGAACTGTTACTTCCTCCAGAATATGTCTGTCCACAAGGAAGAATCCTCCCATACGTGTGATCAGTTGTCTCTGTCTCCCCAGGTATCAGGACTGGGGACACTTTTTGCTTATCACCAAGGTTCCAGAACACGGTTGCTGCTTATTAAAATACCTGCGAAGAGGAGGTGCACTGGGCAGGCCGGGTTCCCTTCTGAAGCAGAACTGCGGGAACCAGAGGGAAAAAGCACCTTTGCCTGAAGCAAAGGTTACATTCTGGTCTCTCTCTCCCCCACCAGAGGCCACTCCTCCAGGACCAGGCTTTGAGGAAGCCCCCGAGTGAACACAACATTTATTTGCTCTTCCTGGAAACTCAGACTGGTGAGCTTGGCCACCCAGCCCTCTGCCCCCACCCACTCCCACCCTTTTCAAACACTAGGGATGAAGAAGGTACATAGGTACCACCGGAGTTGATTTTTCACTGAATTTCAATATTTAGGAAAGATAAGGTATGGAGCTTTCTGGAACATAGCAGTTATTTGAAATAGGCATTACTGAGATAAACTAACATGAGTTTAAGCCACAGATGGCATCCTGATTTGGTCACTTTTACAATTCTGTGAATTGGGGTATGCTACTAAACTTTATGCACCTCAGTTTCTCATCTGACACGTGAGCATGGTAAGAGGCCCCCCTAACAGAGCTGTTTCGGGGATCAAGGGAGATGATCCTTGCTCAGTGTCTGACACACAGCAAATGCTCATACGCTCAGTATTGCCTGGCCTCGGGAAAGTGAAAGTGCTTACAGGTGGACGATGCAGGTGGTCCATGGGGGAAATAGACTCAGATGCTCCAGAGGACTTGGAAATAAGGAAAACAAATGTATCCCCTGGGCACTAAGGCAAATAATGGATCAGAGCAGAAATGAACAGTGGCATCCTGAAGGGACACATTGGCTCCTTGGCCAACAACACCAACAGGCTGTGAACAGAAGGGGCGCCCAAATGGCTACCAAGCTCATGAAGAGACACCCAGACACACCAGTGACCAGAGGAATGCCAATTAAAATGAGAGTGAGATGCAGTGCTACACCCAGCCAACTGGTAACAGTGAGGAAGTTGGGTAAATGCCACTGGCTGAT